ATATTGTTCTTATGCCCTCATTATACTCTAAAGTATCTTACAAAAACATTTATGCTGAAGTTGATTATAATATAGACCCCCAAGTATTTCTTCTGGGGTGAAGACAAGAATAAACCTCGCAGTTATGCTAATAAATTTTGTAAACTGTCACGCATTTTCAGCAAAAGGCAAAGAAGTTATCTAAAACCTCTGGTAAATATATGGTGTCTTGCTACCACAACACTGCATGGGAACCAAGGAACCTGAACAGAATTTGAAGGAAGACTGAGGTCACTAAATCAATCAAAGAAGCTCCAAAGTGGGAAGAGGTCAACAACTGAAGTTCGAATATGACTTTTGTACCAACAAAGATGTGAGATGTGATAGTGAGACATCCACTACCTTCTAGTTTTGCCAATTCTCTACGTTTTGTGAGAAAACAGAGATACTGTCTTTCATTGCCAAATCCTGGACGTCTGGTATCAAACACTGAGTACAGTGTGCAACATATACAAAAATAAAATTGATCCAAGGAAGGGTAATTCATTCATTCTTTTGCTACCTTTTTTACTTCTCTTTCAGTGTTTTAGTAGTACTTGAGGTAAAACGGACTTTTTCAAAATGCTTTTATTGAGTAACAAATGGTGAGTGAGTTTGATCCATTGTGTGGCAGTCTTACAAATATTCTCTTTTCAAATGAATTGAAGAAAACAGCCACAGCTAATGAAGATAAGGAGGCAGCAGCAAAAGCAGGCTTGTAGTTCTAGTAGTAAATGAAAGCCTGCCTGGTTATATCTTCTTTTTCTATGGTTCTATTTTCTAGAGGTCAATCTTTGTACAGTAACAGGATGATCACAGGTGTCCCCTTACTGCATGAGCTAACTTCCTCCTGTGAATTGTATACACAAGATGCTGATCGTTGACGTTAATGAAATGAAAGGAATTATAAAATTTTGGGGCTATGGTCTATTGTTATAAAGAAATAATTCTTGGGAGGACATTGGAACTTAAACACAGAAAGACTCACCTCTCTCAGAAACTGTCTCCCTTCATTAGAGAATGGGAGCTACTTGACTCCCTAAACTTTCACTATTTAATCAAAAGTATTTCTACACTTTTGCCTTTTAAGTTATTTTTCTAACAATTGAGTCTAGCCTAATTGCATTTTTCAAATGATTAGATATCTTAATAATAAAGTACCAGTTGGTAAATAAAATTAATTCTCCAGAACATATTTGGGGAAATGAGGGTCAAGTGATTAGAAGACAGATGTCATGTGATTAAATTCAACGGACACACGTTCATCCAGTCAGGCAGTCCCTCCTCCGTCATGAGCGCCTACTTTGCACCAGGCACTGGACTAGGTACAGGGGCTTCAGGGATGACAAAACCTCATTCTCATCTCGCAAGAGCTTACAGTCTATTAGGAAAGATGTGAAAAGCAACAAAAGAACCAGAATTAAACTTCAACAGGGGGTTTAAACATGCAGTGCATGGATGAGGGAGCACCGAGGTAAAATACCAGAAGAGGTCACAGATGACCTGCAGATCACGGCATGAGTAGGAATACGCTGCGCATTCAAATGGTAGGTGGTTCAGACAACGGGGATGTCCTGTGCTGAAATGAGGCAGGCCGGTACCGCTGACACTTCACAGGTGAGACGGGAGGCTTGGTAAAACAGGGAGGGGGTAGCTATGAGGGCTGGACAGGTGGTAGGACGCAAAGCATGGGGGGCCTTGTAAGCTTGGCAGAGGCTTAGATTTCATTTCGTAAATGACAAGGAATCATGAACAATGTTGGGGTAAGGCCACACCAGAAAGAAGGTAGGTAGGTGTAGGAGGGAGATGTTAGGAGTGGGTTATCAGCAGGGGACTAGTGCAACAGCCAGGGGAGAGACCACTGGGTCCTTAACTAAAGCAGAGCTCTGGGGTGGAGGGGGAGAAGAACAGAGTTAAGTAAGATATTGATAGATTAAATGTGACAGTGTTTGATGATTACTGGATGTGAAGAGAGGAGAAAGGAAAGGGGACAGCAGTTGGTATCCAGAGTTTAAATTGCCAAAATAGTAATCTCTTTATAGTAATCCAAATGATAGAGCCAACTAAGACAATCATTACTGTGCTGGAAATTTACATTATCCAGGACTATGCATTGTATTATTTTATATCAACATAGAAAAAACGGTATTTTTAAGGTACAAGATAGATTACAGGTGCATTAGCTTTAATATGCATAGGCATCATGGGAAAACTGGGGAAGATTTTTAGGATGTAACTAGACTGTTTAAAATTTGCCTTGTGGTATCTGTACTTGATTTCATCCTCTTGAATTGAGATTGCCGCAACCTCAACAAATCAATAATAAATATAACCATCACCTAGCTCTAATGGGGTTCAAATGACCTTTACTAACTCTGGTTGGGGAGGTCAGATGACTGGGTGGAAGATGGAAGAAATGTCATCTGATCATGTAGTAAAAGACAGTGACAGGGTTCACTGGGAGGGACTTTTACAATCCCAGGAGCATGAAAATAGGTGGACAATTAATTGCAAATGCCTAGTAGAGAAAAGACTTGATAGCAAGGGCTCCTGTCTGGAATTTAGAGCTCTAACTGGATGGCAGTGTGTGGGCAATGGGGGAACTATCTTACGCAGGAAGGAACGGATTTGGGCTTCCTTTCTTCCTTCTTCCTTGACTAGATCAGGCTTAGATGTGCCATGTGACTTGGTCTCTTTATACCACATAAAGATACGAATTTTACTGAGCTATTACCATTAACACTGTTAATATGGACTCCAGACCACAGAAGAAGAAACTGCAAATGCAGGATAAATGGTCTTGTAGTCAATATTGATTTAGCTGATATTAATCCAACAGTCAATTAAGGTGCTCACTCAACAGGAAAAAGTCACATGAATACAATTAATTGTTCCCTTTTAGAGTTCAAACATGAAGCAAGAATGTGGAAGTATAAGCACTATGATTTCACATACTGACAAATGACTATGATCCTGATAATAACACGTCTTGCTCCAACCACTAGGGACTTTGCTGATAATCCTATTTCTTTATGGGACCATAGTAGGAAAAAAGGAACAAAAGATATATGAACACAGAAATCTCATGAATTGACTGAAGGGAACATTGCCAACACCACAATGCCAAGCTATAATTCTTTTTTTTTTTTTTCTAACTAGAGTTCTCTTAATTTCCTGACTCCATTTATGGTGGAAAGAGCCTACTAATTTCTTTTCCTAAACATTGAGTGACTGAGAAGATGCTTACACTATAATCTTAAATGGAAAAGAAAAAGAATGCTCATGCAAGCAATAAATATACTAACATTTTTATACAGATTTCACATTGCATTTACTTTTATAATAATCATGCACTGTTTTATAATTAAGAATTAATGTTATGTAATAAAATATCTTACATATAATCTTCTATTATCATAATATAACATTATATTATATTATATATATATAATGAAAAGATTTTAGAAGATATTATTGATTTTTGAAAAGGAAAATCATAAAAATATAATCAATCTGTATCCATTTGGAAGAAATCATCATTTTAATGGCAAACTTCATGTCACTTCCAAAATATTTTGTGTTTCATGTTCTGCTAAATAAAATAAATAGCTGGTATACATTTTTAGATAAGAAATATTCATAAAATGGTCATGCTGATAAATTTCTTCCCCACACTCATTTTTAAAATGTTCTCATCTTCTGGTGAGATCTTTATATTTGCAATTACGCAAATACAAATAGATAAATGAAGGGCAATTATCATATAGAAACTTTGGTGTTTTTTTTTTTTTATTTAAGAAGGCACTTAAAAAACATTTCATGGCTATTCTAAACCAGAGTGTTTGCATTCAAAATTCTTCTTAAGAGCTCAAAATCCATGGTCTAAATTCAGTGCCCAGAATTTTCAATAAATAGACTCATTTTCTCACCAGCTCACTTTTATTCTATCACTTATTCATTCCCACCAAAGCACCTGCAGTTCAGAAGAAGGACAGAGTTGAGGAGGAATGGACTTAGCTGGAAAGAAAGGACCCAAACCTGTGTTCTTCCTGACACTCGCCTTTTATTCCATCTTCTGAAGGTTCATTCTCTCCAAAAACCCTTACTTCTCTGGATAAGAAATTAATACTCCTTCCTTTGTATTTATCTGACTTTCAATAGTCTAGGTAAATTACTAAAAGCTAAAGACTACTTTGTTTCAGGAAATGACACATAGAGTCATACAGCGAATCACACAGAAATACGGAGAGTACCCAAATAAAATGGGACAGTTTTTGTGATTCTGATACATACAGAGACACACTAATCCTGGGACATATCAATGGAAGTCTTACGATATATGAGCGTTAAGACTGTCATATGTCTATTGATTTACTTTTCCTAAAACCATTCAATAATTGTTTTAAATTAACAAATGGTAAGATAAACATCCTGAAATTAAAGAATGGTAAGGAGAACTAGAATGTATATATCAAAAAATTATATACATGTTAAAATGTCAATTTAAAGATGGTACACATTTTAATTTTTAAAAATAGCATTGTCTTATTAAGTTTCAAACATCTGATACACCATATTTAAAATGGAAATCAAGTATGATATTTGCAATTTTTGTCTAGATTTTATTTTATTTTTAATCTGGATGAAGAGTGATCATATGTTGGTTGTTAAGATTACAGGGCTATCAGGTTAATGTCTTTCAGGCTTTAATTTATCTCATATATGACACTAATTAATTTTAGAGAAATCCCTACATTGTAGTATTCTAACAATTGTTGTAACGCCTTTGGAGATACTTGGATAAAGGTGTAAATTTGCCATATAAAATTGATTTTAAAAATTATTAATAGAATTCTTTGTAATAGTAGCTCTGATATTATGCCTTTACTATCAAACAATTAAAGTTTAGATCCAGATGATATAAAAACTTATGCAATATTACTAAGAAACACACAAACTAATCTTTAAGTGGGTATTCATACCGTCATAAATCCATCCAGCAAACCTGAATCGGGTTTCGGAGGCGCCTGCAACCGTTCCATTGACCACTTTTCAATAATGGAGGAGACTTGCGTGTTCTCTGTATTTAATATTCTGAACCCTGTCATGTTAACGCCACTGTATCGGTAGGGCTCCACGTCAAGCGCAAAGAGGTCCTGAAAGACAGGTTCCTTTGTCTTATAATCAAAAGAGTAAATTCACAGGTACATGTAATTGAAAGAGTCACTTATTCTTGCTTTCCTTAGGACAGTTAACATCAAGGTGTCTCAAGCGCTGTTAAACATCACAAATCACCAAAATTCAGACTATCTTCATGTTTTGCCAATGCAAATATATACACTCTACATAAACATGTATTTCTATATTATATTCTAATTCTACCAAGCGAACAACAGGCTTTTGTTTAAGATCTGCATAAGCTTTCTCCTCCATGTGAAGGGCAGCGTCCCTTAAATTTAAAGCATTAATATCTGACTTGTAACTGGCTGTAGGTATCTTCTGTATGCCTTCCTTGGCTAGTTACTGCCATTTTGTTTTTATTTGGTTTTTATCTTTCTTTAAAAAAAAACAAACAAACAGGTCATGAAGTAAGGCTTTTAACTAGTGAAGATTATTTCAAAGCCGAGGGAAAAGGTTAACAAGACTGGCCTTTTTGGTTGTAGAACTCTTGAAATTCTTGAACACTTTTGTCTTTACACACCACCTCCAGCGACTTCCCCATAAAAAGCCTTCAGATTGGGGTTGTCGTTTCCAGTCTGCAGTGAATACTTTGGCTTTAGCCTTCGGGTTTTTCTGGGAGAGAAGAGGCCAAGCTCTCAGGGGAGTTGGATGTCACTATGAGAACATGAAGCATGGGACTTCGGTCCTCTTTGAAGCTGGAATTAGCTAATCCTCAGAGTTGGCAGACAGCATGAAGAACAAGGGCGAGATCAATGCAACTGGTCCTGTGCACAGCTTGTCTTGGACTCACACAGCCACCACAGATTAAAATGTAGAAATAAAATGCAGTGGAGGGCAGCTGAGAGTGGCCTGAGCTGTGCTATGTGCTGTGAAAGATATAAGAGACCTTCAGGTTTTTAATTTTCAATATGCGTGATCTAGTCAGGGAGACATATGATATACAATTTTATTCCGAAGGATAAATAGACAATGTATTACAATATATGCTAAGGGGCCAAAGGATTGAAATGTTGAGTACAGGGGGTCAGAAGCAAGACAGCTGACTTTCAGTTTTCATAGTTTGGAACAGCTTCATAGAGCAGGTGAAATCTGAGCTACCAGAAAGAATGGCCCAGCTTTGATAGGAAAACGGAAGCTATTCAAAATGTCAGTAGAGACACAAAACTTAGAAAAACAAAATCTATTCAGGGGACTGATATAAATCAGTTTGTCTATAAGAGAGAATTCCTGAAGGAGAATAGCAGCATAAGAAAATGGGAAAGTTAGGTTAGAATGAAATTTTTAAAAGGTCTTCATTTATAGGCTGGTAAGTTCCATAGATCGTAGTTCTTTTTTAAAATTTTTTCTTTATTAAGATATACTTTTTACTTCCTTACAATCTTTTGATTATGGCAGAACTGAGTTGCAGCAGCATGGAAATATAATTTGCTGATGAGTAAAGGCTTCCACTTCTTCTCTACCAGCCTGCTACTAAGTTTCTTACAGGCTGCAAGAGGTTGCCTGGTAAAAGGGATAAAGAGATACAGCATAGTTAACCCTATAATTTATCAGTAAAAATACAAGCTACTGTGTGAAGAATCTCTACTGGAGGAGAGTTATTATTATAGGAAGGCATTGTAATCAACTGAATGTTAGTAATTTGATCTGTTAGCTTTAAGACTCCTAAAAGCAAGGAGACCAATTGGAAGAGTTTTGATCAAACAGGGAGGGAACACCCGTTTGACTCATTATTGTGGGAATAGACAAAATGCATGCCAGGGACACTAGAGAGGAAAAGTTAGATTTTGTTGGTGATACAGGAACCAATGGACATTTGAAGGAAGTCAGAAGAGGGGTCAACTTAGAGGATGATATATTAGGGTTTAAATAACTTGAATTGATGCCACCACAATTAGAATTGTTCTGTAATGTAGCAATAAACAATTCAGGAATACCACAGAGGGACATTTAGATCTCATTTGAATAAAGGTAATAATTGAAGCTCTAAATTCATACCAGTTTTGAGGACAATAATTGGAGACGGGAAAAAAAAAATAGGAGAGAGGCCCAAATTTGGAGATACTCTCATAGGTTTGGAATGGGCAGTGGAGGGGTGCGGAATATGCTTCTCCAACACACACCACTTTGGTGATTCTTTGGAGCTGAACGCAATTAAGACCCAGTAGATTCAGGAAAAACTTTTACCTCTGCCTTTACTGCAGAAAATAATTTAGATGGGGGCCCTTTACTAGAAAAAAGAGCTTTTCCCAGAATAACCTTTTTTATCTGAAAGACATATGGGCACTACAGGAGAAGCTTCTAATCAGCACACATCTGCTCTTCCTATCGTCCTATGAATTACTCTCCTTTCCTTTGAAGCCCCAGCCTCTGTCCCAGTCCTTAGCTCAGGATGGCATATAAGCCTCAAATGCCCAACTTCCCTCGAGTCTCCTAGTTTAGGGGTTCCCTTACACACAAAATTAAATTTGTTTCTTCTGTTAATGTCTTAATGCAATTTAATTCTCTGACCACCCAAAGAACCTCAGAAAGGAAGAAAGGACATTTTTTCTTCCCCTAAGGCAGGAAAGAATTAGTGACAGAGACAGACAGCTGCTTTATAGAGGAAGAGAAATCAGGATAACATGTTAGGAAAGAAATAGAGCTAAGAGTAAGTAGGTCTGATAGAAGGGTAAAGTCAGATTTTCATATGTAGTAAAGAAAAACTGTGTGGTGGGTATGTAAAGACAAAAGATAAAAGGTAACATACAATTTGCTAATTACAAATTAAATCATATTGACTTTTAGAAAATCCAACTCAACGTAGGCAAAAAAAGGATATGAAATTTAATCTAAAAGAGCAGCTTCAGTAAATCTGATTTTCGTAAAGCGAATAGAGCTAACAACATAAGAATTTGTGCTCTTCTAAAGCATTGATTTCTCAGCAAACTAATTTTAAAATCTACTATGTCCTGAAACTCTTCTAAAGAGGTACATAAATCAGTATAATATTTTGAATTGATATCTGAAATTTTGTTATTTCAGAATAATTCTGCTTCCTGCCAAGAATTATTAGTTCTCTGTGGTGTTTAATTCACCTGGGTTTTATCAAAATAAAATAAAGTAGAACTACAAAAGTGCTAGTAATTACAGTATTTCTTCTCACTCAAAAACCCATTTTCATTCTGAAAAGCCATGATAATAAAATTTAGAGCATTATCTTTGTGTTTTAATAAATTACTTACCAGAGTGGTAAAAATATAATGATAGTATTCTGTCATCATTCCCATGGCTAATGCCTAAGAAGTAAAAATAAACAAATAAACATACAAATATTAATACTGAAAGTACACATTATATGAAAAAATTATGTCAATAAGACAGGTGAGAGAAAATAGTAGAATGTAATGTAGCATAAGTCTATAGTATACAGGTCACATTGAAATTGAGTCAGACTAAATCTTTTCTCCATAGTTAAAGAAGATAAGTGGTTATTTACTAAAGGAATTTCCGAACTAATTCTCTTGATAGAAAAGCTATTAGATGAAAGTTTGCAATTGTGAAGCTTATGACTTTACATATTAAAGGAGCCATCCAATTTGACATAAAAGGTGAACTTAGCACATCTTAGTTCATTATATTTGTAATATTTCTACTGCAAATACTCTAACAAGAAATACCATTTTATTTTGAGGAACAGTGTTACTCAATTAGGAAAAAAAAGTGCTACAAAGTACAGTGCCAACAGGATTTGTTTTTCTTTGTACTTTAGAGACAGTTCCTTAGCATAAAAAAGTGCCTGTTTGCACTTGTACCTGTTCGACATCCTTGTGAATTCTTTCTCAGGGTCAAGAACCCTTTCCCAGGTTGAGGTCTCACCTAGGGTGCAGGAGCTCTCCCCAGACTGGATCCCCTGACAAGAGAATGAGCCCCCAGCCCCCAACATACACATGCAGTGGAACTGGCTACACAACACTTAGGAAAGAAATTACCAATGATATTTTGTGAGTGGATAGAAATTATATGATCCAAAAGTGCTGTGATAAAGTTCACATCTTAGCAAAATAAGAGACAATCTATCTTATTAAATAAAATTCTATAAGATTATCTTTGTAGAAGGTATTCATTCTTCCTGATGGATATATCAGAAGGTTTCCCAACTCCACAGCTACTCAAGAACAGCTCAGTGTTATCCTTGCTGAGAGCTGTTACTTTATCAACATGATAGGTGTAGAAATACAAAGACAATTGAAAGAAATAAAGAGGCAGATAAATAGCTATAAATAACCCTTCATAATGCCTAAAATGTGTTAGGTACTATTCTAAACACATTACACATTTTAATCAATGCAAGGCTCATAAAAAAAACTCTAGGAGATAAGTCCTGTTATTATGGTTATTTTACTGGGACATAATAAGAATGAAAAAAGTGGCCAACAAATTGAAGACAGTGAGTAAACATCAACTTCAACTCTTTAACTCTTAGAGTCTGTATACAGAGTATAATCTATGTCATTTTATAAAATGATATTTAGACAGGCAGGGAAATGAAACAAGGTTCATGCTCTTGTAAAATCTATTTAGCCTGTAGACAAAGGCCCAGCTTATTCTTTAATTTAATCTATATGCTGTTCTTCCTCTTCTTCCGGCCCCTTAATCAATTAAGTAACTTTGTAACCAGGACAGGAGACTACCAAAGGGTAAATGAATTGATGTGGATAAAGAATGCAGTGATCCAGACCGACAGTCACCTAAATAATTCAAGAAACAACTTCAAAGGAATGAGTCACCTGTATACATCATGTCTTATGCTGACCCCTTCCCCAAGGCCTTATAAAACTGCAAACCCTAAACCCCTAAGTGCACCTCCTCCTGAGGTTGCCCACACTCCCCTTTCTTTTAGTGTGTACTTTTTGCTTTAAATAAAGACTTCTCACCACTCTACTTACTGCATTCTGTCTCTGTGTTCTTCCAGTGGTGTCTCTGTTACTTTGTTATTTCATTCTATTTTCCAGACTTAAGCACAAGTCCTCATTCTGTCTCTGTTCTACTCCAGACAAGTAGGGAGGAGCTGCTGAGAGCTCTGATTTGAGCTTGCAAGTTCCTGTCACCTGGGTGACCTGGACAGGACTATGGCTATAAATCATGCTCTTTAGTAGCCTGCCTAAAAATCTCCTTTCTTTGCTTTGGGAAGCCCTCAGAACATAATCTCGCTCCATCCAGTGCTCTGCGGCCCCCCCAAATCCTGGAGTGGTCGGGGCTTTATTCTCATGCTGTGAAGATTCAAGGGGACACTGGATGCCAGATGACCCTGGCTTCAGGGGTTGGCAAGGGATCTGCCCAGTGCCGAGCCGGAGTTCAATGAGCTTCCCTTTCTTCGTCCCTCTATTCTTTCTGGTCTCTGCTGCCTGCACTGCGGGGGCCATTCACCACTATTTTCTCTGTAATGAATTCCTTCCTTACCTACACTTGTTTGACCTGTTCAAGAATTTTTTCTCGTTCAGAGTCACAGGGAGAAACCTCTCAAGATGCAGCTGCCCAGCAACAGTATATTTTGTGTTCCCAAAGCTGCAGATCCATCTAAGGATCTGTACACTCTAAAAGTTTTGCCTTGTTTCCTTCCTGATAGTTTGAAAATCTGAGCATCTCAGGCCTGTGCTGAAAACTGTGATTTGGAAGCAGGGACGGGCAGGGGTTCAGAAGCTGGTGTGGGGAGGCCAGCTTGCTTCTGACCTAAGTATTCTGTACCAGTTACAGGTTCCCTCTGTATCACTTTGGGAAGAAGTCTATAAGGAATAACTGAGAACTGTTTGTGCCTTTCACTGACCTTCCCTCAGTTTTTGTACCTGAAAACGAGAACCAATAATGGACTATGATGTATGATCTAAATAGAAAAGTTCAATTATTTTTGATTGAGCATCTACACTATAACGTTAATAATACTGAAGAGGAATTCTCTCCTGAAAGATAAGTTAATACTTTCCAGTGTGATTTTAAAAAGAACTTGTTCTGGACCTTTTTAATTATAACATTTTGCATGAACTGCATGAACACTTCAAACCACATTAAAGAGAATAAAATTAGTATCCTCTTATATATAAACAATAAAAGAGTGGCCACAATAGAAAATTTGTTGTACTATGTTATCCCTCCTGGGAAGAAATACCACTGTTTAATTTTTCCAAAGTCAAAACATTATTAAAAATCCCCAACATTTAACTGTTGTAGTGTGAACAATGCCATATGACAAATTAACACATGCAGTTATCTGGCTATGTAATTTGCAACCAGTTTACCCTTCAGGTTATACTCAGAAGTTACAGTGTTTAAGGTTAACAATTGAAGGGGTGCACTTCATAAATGTTTCTTAACATTTAATTTACTTGCTGCTGTGGGAGTTTATTGCACCTTTTACATTTTCCCTCATTAAACTTTTGATTTCACACTCTCTGATCTAAACTTTCATGTTCCATATTTATATTTGTAATACAATTTCCTCCTGAGGTTCTACTGCAGAGCATCTTGGCCCTGCCATAGAGGATTTTTCTTTGGATGAAAGTAGAATCTTTTGCAATTAAGGCATGTATACCAATCAGTGTATTCAATTTGTTTCAATGGAAATCTAGCCAGCCCCAAGTGTTTTTAAAGCTTTCAAGGCAAGAAAACTTCAAATTCACTGTTGGTCAATATTTAGTAAAAGTTCAGTTCATTTAAATAGATAAAACAAAGAAACAAAGAAGGCTAACTTGATAAATCCAGCCCTATTTCCAGACATTTCTAAGGTTTGTTCTTGGCTTAAGCACAGCAAGCTGAAGCTCATTTATGCCTGCTCTCCAACACCTATACCATTTCTCTGGAGTCCCATCATTAGCCATGTTGAGGAATCTCAGAAAAATTTTACGAATCATAAAAAGAACCCTATAAAATATACTGCTGCATTTGTGAGAAAGGAAACTGTTTCCTTCTTGAATTGGTTTCTAAAATAATTAAGATCCAACTTGTGACAAATGCTCTCTGGGGCAAGTTAAGTTAAAAAAAGATACCACCATATATGTGATCAGCCAGTGCTGTAGGATCTAAAAGCAGGAATTCTGTGTAAGAATGTTCATCTAACTTCATCTTAACTTTCATCTTGTCATTTTACTTTTGCTATGATTTTTCACCTATTAAACTTTGTTAAAATTAGGCAACTTGTTCGGTTGCATATATTTTAAATGTTATCTTCATTCTGTTTTCATTCTGCAAACAGAGCGGGTTATGTTACAGTAGGTAGGTAGCCAGACATGAGCAGGGAAGGCGAGAAGAACTCCAGTTGGGTGCTTGCTTGCATTCTACAAATTTTGTATCAGCTGTTCTCCCAGGACGAGGGGGTGAGAATATAGGTAACAGACCAGCCCAAACCCCCTGGTTCCAATGTGGAGGGGAAACTGAGCCAAACTTCTCCCCAAATCCATTGACACAGTAAAATTTCAGCCCTTCCATTATTATCATAGTAAAAATCACACTTCCTCATACGACATTTCCAAGGGACACCAAATATAGCCAAAATCCCTCTGCCTGATGTGAGGGTGAAGCAAAGCTGACTCCAAAAATGCTCCACCTGTTCGCTTTGAAACCTAGCCCTACTTAATGAATATTCATCTCCCTTTGAATAAAAATGGCTTCCCATTGCTTCCTCGCCCAGCTCTCCGGCATGGGCGCTCTTACCCTTCCTACAGTAAATGAATCAGTTACTCGAGAATTGTTCTGGTATTACATGAAAAATAAATCCCTACTCTGGATTTCAGTGTTTACTTTATTACATTAGTTCATTCATTACCAAAAAAAAAAAAACAACCAAGACCAAAACCAAACAAAAAAACCCACATATGCTTTATTACCCAAATATAATGCTAGAGCAATTTTTCAAGTCCAATTAAATATTTTACTGTAGTGAAACCAACATTTATACTAGAAGACTGGACAAACATCTGCTCAATAAACCAACCATGTTATAACAGGCACTTTCTCTTGATAGTTATATTTTACCAGATATAATTTGACATCTGAACCTGTGTGACTCTCCAGTAGATATTCTGTCATATACACGAGACATTTCAAGACAGTTAACTGATCCAAAAGTCACTGTGATTTCAGTCAGTGGGGCATAAAGATCTTAAAAAATAAAGTCCAAAGACTTGAGTTCAAATGTGGGCTTTACCTCAGAGTAAATATATAGCCTTGTACTAGCCACTTAGACCCCAACATTTGTTTCCTTTTCTGTAAGATACGGGAGAATATAATTGCTGTATTCCAGTGTGCTGTTAGGTCTGAATAGTGCTGAAGTAACCTAAAGAGGTTTTACTGCTATGAATTGTTTCATTTGATTGATTTAGCATCCTCTTTTCAGGGCCAATGGTTTATTCCAGAAGGAATACTTCCTATCACTGGGTGGGATATGAATTCCTCTGCGATTCCCTTGCTGCTGGACATTGGTAAAGTTACTTAACCTTTCTGAAGCTCCACTTCTTCATCTGTAAAGTGGACGTAGCCCTGACTTCATTTGGTCGTGGTGATCATTAAAATGTGCAAAGGATCTCACAGTAGCTGTCAGCCAAACAGTGAGCCTTCTCTTCTTTTTCCTATAGATTGATTGTAATGGTTGAACTGCTTCATTGTTGACCCTTAGTTTATTCCTCCATTTCAGTACAAAACAGAAATATCTATCCCATTAGTCAATACTCACATTAACTTGTACGACATTATAGTCTTTGGAAAGAAACCTCAGGACTTCAAACAATACGTTTTGAAGATCATCAATATTTACAATACTTTTCTTAGAAGACAATTGATTAGAAGCAATTGTCACACTTTTTATCAGAAAATTACATCAAGGTCACTACTTGGGCTTTTTTTGAACTGACTGTGTAACAATAATACCTTGGTTTAAAAAACAAAAGACCATAATTTAAATGCAAATTTAATAAAGAAATGAAGAATTAGGTAATTTAAAGATTACCTGTTTCAAAATGCCTGCTGCCATTTCATGGCTACAGTCAAAGATCACGTGGAACTCCTTCCCTCTTTTCATTTCTTTTAGTAAGGGTTTTGCATCCTTCGTGTCAGCAGGTAGTTGACGGATTTTAAGTCGAAGATTGTACCTTGATGGAGCTTTGATGAGCTCCTGCAAACGAATGAGACCTTCAAAGAAAAAAAAGGAAAAAAAAGAATATTAGAGAAAAAATAGAAGAAGTCATAAAGTCACAAAACATACTCACTACAATGCCTGATTTTCTTGAGCATGGGTGTGTGCATTTCATGGCGTGACCACTGAAATCCCTTCTTCAGACTCCAGGTTCCCAGTTATTTTTGTTAAAATAGTCACTTCTCAAATTCTTTAAGGGATTTTTCAAATTATATAAGATATCCATGACTGTAAGTCGATGTAAATAATTCAAATATAGAAAAGGATATTCAGTAAAATAGTGTCCTTCTGTGTCCCAATTCTCTCAGTGGGTTGCCACTGTTAAGGGCTTAAAATACCATTCCTCCATACACCTTCTATTCATTTCCACATATATACGGAGAGTTTTGCATTGATTTATATTTTATTAGTAGTTGTTTCGTGACAATGTCTTATAGGTCATTGTAAGTCAGTAAATATTATTCTTTTACACTATTAACAGTGTTTTATAGTAGATGTAATTTATGTAATTATTCTCTATTGTTACATTTTCTGGTTACTTCTTTTTTGGTTTTGTTTACAAGTTATGGTCTAGTAATCTAGTGTATATGTAAGAATGAAATAACATTAATAAAGTAGACTTCAGTAGGTTGAACCATAATTAAAATGATAAAATTTTCTTAAAATAAAAGGAAAACATTTATAACTATATCTAGAATTTGGATATCTCTCTTGTTCTGTGTGTGTGTGTGTGTGTGTGTGTGTGTGTGTGTAGTTATTTTATCTACAAACAGGAAAATATATGTAGATATATATATATATATATAGCTATAAATATATATTTACATACTACATTTAGAAACAGGAATAAAAATATATCTTATTATGACAAAAATTACTGTATATTAAAATAACTACACATTAAAATGAGATCTAATGCTAGGAATTTTTTCAATGTTTATATAAATAGATTTTCATATATATAATGTTATAAATATTTCAATATGTTGCCAGATAGTTAATAAAATTAACATGACTAATTTTCTCTAATTTCATCTTCAAATGAGACATACAATTTACAAAATACATAAATTCATAAATATACTTAATATCTTTTGCTTTGCAATATGGTGACATAAAATTTACTTCATTTCAAGTTATTTTAGAATTCTGCCATTTAAAATTCTATTCATAATAGCTGCATAAATTACACAGTATATTATTATTTTTGTTTTACAAATTTAAATATTTGCTAGCTATAGTAAAATAATTATTACATAATAGATAGTAAATATACTCATTAAACATAATATGATTCAGCCTAGGGAATTAACATGTATCTGAGTACGGAAGTTAACACTGAAATGTACAAAAGTGAAAACAAATATTTGAATCTATAACACCTATTTAACAGTAGTAGAATTTAATGCTGGGCTTATAAAATCCTCCAAAATGTGTATAAAAGGCTACACATTTCTTTGCACGTGGGAGTACTCTACAACTAAATTAGAGTGCATTTTTAAAGGGAGGTCACATTGTTTAACTACTTTTTATAAATAAACCAGAATATAATAGAGTAAGGCAGTGGCTCCCAAACTTTGGCAATAATCTGGGCAGCTAGTTACAACCTAAGCAACTGAATCACAAACTTCAGGGGATAGCCCTGCTATCTATACCTTTAACAATCTTCCCAGGTAATTTTCCTGATCGTCAGACAGGGAGGCCAATTTCCAAAGACAGATCTGGTTTCAGGTAAGTGTCATACAAGAGCCAGTCTTTCAGCAACTTGGACATACCAAATTATGGGATAATAGCTATATTATATTAAGCAGTAGCACAAGACAATAAAATAATGAATTCAAAGAATGATTTTCAACAAGAAAAAGTGAATCAGAAAACTGTGTATACAACTAACAGTAGGAATAAGAGAGAGGAAAAAAGACCATTTACTCATTTACTAAAAAAAAAGTTTTGGAAGTTCTTACTATATAGGTCTAGCATTGTTTTAGACATTGGTGATACAACGAAAGATAAAATAGACAAATTTCTTGCCTACACCATGCTAAAAACATAATGAGAACAAAGACTGTTAAGCAAGCAACTATAAATGAAAAGTGATAGATAGTATTTTGGTGGGGAAAATAAGACTGTTGAAGAACCGTATAGCAGATCATTTGATACCAACCCTAGCTGAATAAAGAAAAGAAACCTACCCTTGGGCTGACTTACCTCACAAGATTTTGTGCAAGTGAAATGTAAATATGGGGGGTTTAGTCTACCACAGTAGAAATAGACAGGGCTTGAACTCAGTTCAAAAATCTATGATCTGTGTGACTTTGTGCAAGACATCATATCTCTCTTAGCTTTGCTTTGCTTTCCTCTCCTCTATAATAGGGTAAAACCATCTATGTATTAATACATGAAACACCAGAAAAGGAACAGTCATAAATTAGAGTCTCAATAAGTGGCAGTCCTTGTCATTGTTTAGGTTAAAATGGGAAGAATATAATTATTATTTTTTAAATGTGCTGATTGCTAAGTCTGTTCTTGGAAGTTATTTTGACACTGAGTTAAACTAAAATCCTAACTTCAAAACTTTAAGAGAGCAACTCATTACCAAAGGAAAAGGAGCAATATATAGTTACAGATTAGCCCAGCAGTTTTGAATTGAAAACGCAAAACTGACTGAAAAATAGACATTTTCTGAGGAATAAAATTCCCATCTAGTATTTATCCCTAAGTATAAATATTGTCAAGTATTTTCAAGTCTCTTCTGAGCTCATGTGGACAGTCCAATAGCCATCAGGTACAATAAATGTTTATGTATTCTCTTCACACATACACATCCCCCCGCTGGCAATAATGTAACAGATTTCAGTTCACCAGCTTCCCTGGGGAATCACATTGAAGAGCTGAAAAATAAAAAAATTTTTTTAAAAAACCTGCTGTTAGTAGAAACTGCCATCTCCTACTTGAGGATTCAAGTGAAATTCTGTCTTCATTCTTTCATTCACTCAACATATATTTACTGCAGGTCTGCTATGTCTAAGATATTGTTTGATGGATAAGTATAATCATTGGAATCATAGAATTCATTCAGTTTTCAACAGTCTGAGATAGAGTTTGGCATTTCTTTCATACAGAATTTGTGCCTACAGTGACTTTCACGTTCAGTTGTTGGAATAAAAATGGTTTAGCATTTCAATCAGAGAGAAGGAATCTTGAGAGTTGTTTGAATACTGAAAGTAGAATCTTCATTTTTAAATTCTGGCTTTCCATCACCTCCTGCATCAGGGCCTTACACTCTGCTGGCTTCCCAGCCTCTGATGCTCTGCCCTGTGGTACTGTTTCTCTTCTATTTATATTTCCATCCTAGATCCCTTGCCATCCCTATTATCTGACATTTAGGTACAAATCCTCATCTGAATTCTGTTATTTAGAACACCTTGGAAGACGAAGACAGGGTTGACAGAATGGAAGATGCCTTCAAGACACCCCTATTTCATATGAGTTATTGGATGGAATCCCTGTAATTTATTGTATGTGGATGAGGGTTTTATCCAAAGGAAAGTGGGTGTATATAGCAAAGATGTTTTTAAATGCAATACTAGGCATGTTTTTTCCTCTGCAGATCTCTACCCGTCTTACCTCCTCCGATGTTTCTCTGCAAGCTATTATTTTCTAAAATTGCCAATGCCAGAAAAGACTGGATCTATCAGATCCGTTATATGCAAATAAAGGTACATGCTTTGTAAAATAAAGCAGCTTTTCTTTTTCCTTTTTTAGGAAAAATAAGCTTTGCAAAATAATTGGGATGATTTATATGTGGACCTGTCCAATGGTCCTTTGGTTAAAATAAAAAGACCCATTTATTTGAGGAAATAAAACAGCAAAATCTATTTTGTTGAAAATGTGGTTAAAACAATTAATTTCCAAATAGCAATTTTCAGAAATACAGTTTACCTTAACAAATTTGGCACCCAGTGAAGCTATTTAATGAAAGAGTAGAATTATACCTCCTCAAAACAGCCTTTTAATTAAAATGCCCCCTTATTCCCTAATGTAATTAGCTGATGTAATGATAATAAAAAAGAAACTATCTGCACAGATGGGTTCCTGAAAATCTTCTAACAAAGACGAGCGCCACGTTGCAATCATCCCTATATTTGGAAGACGGGTAACATTCTATACTCTCTTATTCCTTCACTGAGAGTAGGTTTTGTAAGCTTTTTTCTACTTTGAGATATTTTACAGTAGCTGACATTAAGGCTTATCTTAAGCTTACAGGGGACCAAGTTTGAACTGCTCTTTTCAGAAGTTGCCATCAATTTGGCTTTTAAGGAGAATCCAGAAGGAGCCATTTATGCGCACTCCAGCTGGCACTTCCTTCGGAAGAGATCGATCACACTCTCTCCCCACAGGCCCGGCCTCCTCCAGCCCCAGCAAGGGAGCCCCAGCTTTCCTCCCATGCCCAGGTACCCACTCCAGCAGCCACACCAACGAGAGCTTCGCCACCTGGCTTCCTCATCAGAACTATTTATCATTTCAGTTAATATGGGTTTGTGCAGGCCAGACTTCCCCACCCCCAGATGCACTGTACAATGAACTATGTAAAATGATTCATCCACATTCACGGTTTCATCATCAACTTTTTTTATTTCAGTTGAGAAAAGATAATTCAGTGTGAGGCCAAAATAAAACATTTCAAGGAGTTATTTTTATTAAAATGTCTTATTTGTGCTACAGTGTTTTCGAGAAAATAAATAGAATATGTATGCCAGTTATAGACTTTGCAATGTTTGGTAATGTAAATACGGAGAAGGGAGCTAATCATAATTAAGAAAATAAAAAATGACTTTGACAGGAGAGACAAACTGGCGCTGGGAAAAATTCTTTCTCCAAATTTCTAACAGGGCTCCTCTACTTGAGGGTGAGGTGGATTTGTTCATCAGCACAGGGGAAATAGAAAAAAAAAAAGAAAGAAAATTGGTATCTAGGAAAAGAAGGGAAGGGAAGA